TCATAGGGTTAGTTCTGGTTCACCTTCAGAAGATCTGTCCCCTACCCTTTCCAACATAAACTTTATTCTGATGTCATACTACTAGTACCATGCATTATAAGTATTAAAGATAGAAATTTGCCAGTGCAGCCACCTGGATCAGTATTTCTCATTCAGGAGGCCTCAACTCACATCAGTCTTCTGCTTAGTCTCGCCAGTCTGGGATTACAGACACGAGCCGTTGTAATTGGCTTAGTGGGAGACTTTTCTGACATAAGTGTCTCCATCAAAAGATGGGGATAAAGAGGAAGGCTGGAGTGCTGTGACTGGGGTGATTCATGACCAGTGCTCAGGGTTCTGCAAGCCTCAGTGACCCTGAACTGTAAAAAATCATGTTACTTGTTGTTCACTAAGTGCCCACTGGCATGCTGGCCACACCCCAGGAAACCCGCTGGATTTCAAATCTCCTTCATCCGCAGTGCTTGAGGTTGACTTCTGACTGGTGGGTGAAGTGAGCGGCTCTGGACATCCTCTGCTTGTTGGGTGCATAGTGCTGCATGCAGACTCTGATGCTCCAGCTTCCTGTCTTCCTTGGGGTGTTGGCCAGCAGCATGAAGACCCCAGAACCCCAAGACACTTGGCTCAATATGAGCCCAGTCTTGAATTCATGCGGGCCTGAACCGAGCAGACTTTGATTGTGGCTTGAGGTCTTGAGGTGCTGGCAATGCATTCTTGTACAAAGTAGACAGAAGGCCCCTGTGCAGGGGACACCACTGTAAACCAGAGGTGCTGAGTGGGCAGTGCATCAGGAAAGGAACAGGTGTGAAAGGAGGCGATCCAGCAGAACTGCGTCTCCCAGGTGTGTCCTGGGGGGGGGGGGTGTAACTTGGAGGTTGTTGTACAGTTTTTGTCTTGTTTTGATTTTAAGCCAGAGGTCTCAATGAGAATTACCCAGAGAAATTGTAAAAGTAAAAATAGGTCCTAGGTTCTCTTACTGGGGCTCTGGCTTCCTCTCTAAGAAAATTCTGACTTGTGGGAAGTAGCGTAAACTTAGCTTCTTATTTTGTTTTAGAAAGTTGCTGTTATAAGAGAGTGTTGGGTTCATATCTGACTTGTGCCTTGCCAACTCTGTGGTCTCAGGCAGGTAAGTTGTCTTTCTGAGCTGCTGTCTGTGGCAGAGGCACTAAGGTGCTCTGCCCTGTCTCTATTTTGGGTTGTAGCATCTATGGAAGATACCACAGCGCTCCATCTCATATTCTATGTGTGTTTGCCTGTATAAGTTTGTGTGTGAGTGTAAGGCACTGTGGTGCCCCATCTCGTGTGTGTGTGTGTGTGTGTGTGTGTGTGTGTGTGTGTGTGTGTTTTCCTCAGTGTCCTATCTCATGCTGTTTGTGTGGAAGGCACCATGGGGTTTTGTCTCACAGTACTAGGAATGAGCAATATGCTTCTCTTGAAGCCTTTGCAGTCAATGCTTGTCATCTTTCTAGACCCCAGAAGGCAGGCCAGACACTGATTGTTGACACTCCCCTGACCACAGTAGGGGAAAGAGACTTGTTCACAACCTGTCCCACAGCTGCTGCTTTGCCACTGTATAGCGCATGTTTTACTACTGAATAATGTTATGTGAAGGCAAGAATATTCAGCTTGTGTAATCTCCGTTACAAATTAACATCACTTGAGAATTGAACAGTTAGGCCATGTGTGACTGTGCTTGTCTGTAATTCCAGCAGTTGGGAGGTGGAGGCTGGAGAGTGGAAGCTTGAGAGTTTGAGGCTCACCTTGGATACATAGCAAGATGCTGTCTCAGACCAAATCCCACCTCCAAAAGTCCCAACAGTCTGTGGGTCATACTCTTTCCCTTTTTCTTGATTTTCATTAAGTCTTATAAAAAGACATATTTGTTCTGAGTGTTTTTCCTGCATGTTTGTAAGTGTACCACATGCCTGTAGCACCCGTGGCCAGGATAGGGCATCAAACCTCTAGGAATTGGAGTTATAGGTGATTATTACCCACCATGTAGATGCTGGAAACTGACCCTAGGTCCTCTCAAGAGCAGCCAGCGCTCTTAACTCCTAAGCCATCTCTTCAGGCTTCATTTTAATGTTTTTATTTAATAGAAAAAATAGCAGCTATGGGTAGACATATAAATAGTTAATTCAGGATTGTAAAAGAATGGGTGGAGATCGTAAAGAGAATTTAAAAAGAACAAACCAAGGGGGGTGGGTAGACAGCTGGCTCCTGGAGCAGAATAGCGAAAAGAGAAAGTCATACTGTGGGACAGCGCAGGCAGTAACAAGGGCAGAAGCCACTCTGTGCACAGTTTATCCTTTCTACAGTCGGCACTGGAGCAGAAGCGGACCTGGACAGGACCCCCTTGTAGATCTACTGTCAGATCTAAGCTCTAAGGTCACAGGAGGTCTTTGGGGCCTAGAACTAGGCAAAGGATCCTTCAGTTTGATGAAGGAAGGAAGGAAGGAAGGGAGGGAGGGAGGGAG